ACCATTGCTGGCCACCTCACCAGCCCCACGGCTGCCCGAACTTGCTTCCATTCTTCCCAGCAAATTCCTTGCACGTAAAATACTCGGCGGTGGCGGTGTCAGGATCCTAAGCCTGGCGGCGGGAGAAACAGTCCTAGAGCCTTGAAGTCTTTATTATTATTATGTGGGGGAAATGGACTTTCTCCTTTACAGCGTCTCTGGCGGCTCCCTGTGCTGTGTCCTCCCAGGCCCGCTGCCTACCGTCACGCATTCTTAGGTTAGTTCCACCGCCTCTGCAGGCCACGGTTTCTGCTTGTTTTGGTTTCCTTTTTCATTTCTCTGGCACACATCTTGAATTCATTTTTGTTAGAATGGTCATGCTTATTTGTTACGGGAATATAGGTCTAAGCAGTTTTTGCTCAAAAATTGTAGCCTTGTATTCTGAAGGCTTCACTGCCCTGATATTCCCAAATGTTAATTTGGTCTTTGGCCATATTTTATTCTATTTTCCAGCCTATTACTTGATTTTTTTTTTCTAGTACCAGAGATCGAACTCAGGACCTTGCTCTTGCCAGGCAGGTGTGGTGCCACTGAGCTACATCCCTGGCTTTGTTCTCTGATTGCCTCTTTTTCCTTACAGCCTCTCCTTTTTTTTTTTTTTTGGTACCGAGGCTCGAACTAGGGACCTTGTGCTTTCGAGGCAGGCACTGGAACCGCTGAGCTAAATCCCCGGCCCCAAAACTACACTTGCATTTTTTTCTTTTTTTTTGTATTTTTAAAAAATAGCAAAACATTTATCGGTACATTTTAGGCATGCATAATGGTAACATTCATTGTAGGGAATTTGCACCTGTCCATGGTACCTCCCACCTCTTTTTTCCCCTTTCCCTGCCCTCTCTCAAGCCCTCTCCCCTCCCCACGTACAAAAGCTTTGTTTCCATTTTTTCCTTCTATTTTCACTTTTTTTCTTGTCCCTTCCTTGCTTTCTCCCTCCCTCCTCCCTGTTTGCCTCCCCTTTTGAACACTTTCTTCCCATTTCCCAACATCCATTATACATCTCAGTCTGTATTTCCACTTTCGGTTTCTCACACCAGAGAAACAGTGCAGTATTTAAACATGTGTGTCCAATTTATTTCACTTAAGGGCATGGTCTCGCGGTCCATCCATTTAACTAGAAATGTCTCACATGTATCCTTCTTTATGGGAGAGTAGTACTCCATTGCATTAAAAATCCACATCTTAGGCTGGGGATTAAGCTCAGTGGCACCTCTCCTGCCTCGAAAACACAAGGTCCCAAGTTCGATCCCTGGTACAAAAAAAATCCACATCTTTATCCCTTCATTGGTTGATGAAGCCTCTCCTCTCCTTATTCTGAGATGAATTCTTCAAATAAAATTGCAGATGACTACACCTGTAGCCACAGGATTTTTTTTTTTTTTTTGAGACAGGGTCTCGCTGTGTATTTCAGCCTGGGCTTGAACTCACTATGTAGCCCAGGCTGGTCTTGAACTCGAAGCAACACTCCTGCCTCAACCTCCGGGGTGCTGGGATTACAGGTGTGCACCCCACACCCAGCTGGGCAAAATGCTTTAAAACCTTTTTGTTCTTTGGTACCGAGGATGGAACTCGGGTCCTTGCGCTTGCACAGCAGGCAGCGAAACCACTGAGCTAAATCCCCAGCCCTGTAAAACCACTTTTTTTTTTTTACACAAACATCGTTAAGGCAACAAGAACTAAAATAGTAACTATCTTAGGACGTCGGTGTTAGTGAGGCTATAGGAAAAAAAAACTGTGTACATTGCTGGTGCCAGAGGATACAGTGCCTGTGAAGATAATTTACCAAGAATACCAGACTTCACTGGCAAGGCTGTGGATCCAGCACTTGCCTAGCATGTGTGAAGCCTGGGTTCCATCCCCAGCATGGGAAAATAATGCCACTGGCATTGGCCTTTGGCCTACCAATACCACGTGCCAGTATTCACATCACAGCCACACACGCACTGAGGAAGCTTGAGCAGCACTGTTCCCCACAGCCTTATCTGTGACCGCTAGAGTGGGAACCGAAGCTTTGGTCTGCAGAGCTTCGGAGCGGTGTACCGTGCACAGGCAGTGGTGATGGCAGGAAGTCACTAGGATGTGCGCTTCGCAGGTTAGAGCGAGCTCTGGGATGTATTGTTAAACGAAGAAAAGGAAGAAAAAAGGAAGCTGTAGAAATAATTATCCTGGGCACCACTTTTCCTATAAGGGCCTAAATGTTTATGTATCTGTGATTGAATAAATACAGGAAGTATTTAGAATAAACAAGGGAAAGAGCCAGACATGGTGGCGCAGGCCTGTAATCCCAGCACTCAGGAGGCTGAGGCAGGAGGATCACCAAGAGTTTGAGGCCAGCCTGAACTACATAGTGAGTAAAAAACAAACAAAAAATTGCTTTATAATGGGATAAAATTTATGACGATTTTAACTCTGAATGTTATCTTTTTTTTTTTTGAGACAGGGTCTTGCTATATAGTCCAGGCTGGCCTCAAACTCAAGATTCTCCTGCCTCAGCCTCTCAAGAGCTGGAATTACAGCCATGTTTGGCTCAGATATTATCTTTTAACATCCATGAGTGATCTGAAGTTAAAGCAGATAAAGGGGAGCTGGTGAGGGACTGGGTGGGGGGATGCTGTTTTGTTTTGTTTTGGATCAGTGAGGAGCAGAGAAGGTAACATTTAAGCAGAATTGTGTTCACATTTATAAAGTGGCTCTCAGGCTTTCTCCAGTACTTTTTTTCCCCTCACTGCTGGGGATTGAACCCTGGAGCTCACACATTGTAGGCAAATGCCTTACCCCTGGATTACACCCCAAGCCCAAAACTGAGGGGAGTTTTAAGAGAATTCCTTTTGGTCACGAATCTTGATAATTTGTTGCCTTCTCTGCAAGAATCTGCCTCTGCACGAATCTGCCTCTGCACGAATCTTCCTCACGACCCACTATTACCTGCCAGCCTGGAGGAGAGAGAGTTCAGGTTCTTCTCCTAAATCTGCCCCTGCAAAGCCCTGGCCAAGTGACTGAACCTGCTGGGGATCGGCGTCAGTACAGGGAGTGAGAAAACCAGCTTCAGAGTGAAAGTGGGTGTTGAGGAAGAGCACACGGGGGCGTTCACTGAAGAGAGTGACATGCAGAGTCCACCCATGCAGTAGGGTGTCTCGTGACTGTCCCATCTTGTCTTTGGGACACAGACCAAGCTGCGCTCTGCATTTGGGGTGTTCTTCCTTCACTGCTTGGCTCAGATGAGCTTGAACTGCTTCCTTTCTCCTCTGGACAAGATGTTCCAGAAGAGGGCCATGGGCCAAGCCGGAACATCGCAGCTAACTTTAGTTCGCTATTTTCAGCCTCAGCTTGTTCCTGGACAAATCACCCCATGGACAGAGCATCTTTTCCAGGTGGGACAGTTCTTGTGTTATGCCCCAGGATTTTGTGGGGCATTAAAAAAGAAAACCAGGCTCAGTGGTGCCACCACCTGCCTCACAAGTGCAAGGTCCTGAGTTCAATCCCTGGTGCCAAAAAAAATAAAATGAAATTAAAAAAAATAAAACCAGTGTCACAAAGCTCTGTGTCCATGCATGTGGGTTGAAAAGCCTTATGCCGTCTAGAAAGTCACTGACAAGTAGCAGGATGTGAGTATCCCAAGTTCTCTTTTGGATGTGGGTAGGAAAACCAAACAAGCTTACCTTAGAACTGTCCATGTAGTAAAGAAGGACGAGCTTCAGACATTTATAGCTAAACGGATGGACCTTGAGACCATACTCTTAAGTGAAATAAATCAGACACATGTCTTTAAATACCGCACTGTCTCTCTGGAGTGAGGAACTGAAAGTGTAAATAAGGACTGAGATGTACAATGGATGTTGGGAAATGGGAAGAAAGTGTTCAAATGGGAAGGGGAACAAGGGAAGAGGGAGGGAGCAAGGAAGGAAGGGACAAGAAAACAGTGAAAATAGAAGGAAAAAATGGAAACAAAGCTTTTATACACAGAGAGGGGAGGGGCTTGAGGGAGCAGAAAGGTATAAAATAAAATAAAATTTATTTAAAAATAAAAGAATTATCCCCAGAACCAATAAATAAATAAATAAATAAATAAATAAAAGAAAAGAATTGTCCATATAGGAGCCTGGAAGCCAGGGTAAAGGGAATGTATCCGGTGGGAGGAGGGCCTTGGGTGGCATTAAGTCCCTGGCACTTCTGGGCTGCTGACAACCCTCTGGCTCCGGCGTGTGAGGTAGAAAGCTGGGACCCCCAGCACCGCTCCTCAGAGTCTTAGCTGACTCTGGAGGGACCAGAGGCCTTTTGCTGGGTCTCAGCAGCCTGTGCTGTGCACAGAATGCACACACTGGCTTATGCAGTCGGGGTACGGGGCAGATTCTACATTCAGGCTGTGCTGGGTCGGCAGGATGAGGAGGAGTCTCACCACATTTTAGTGGCCTCCACCCTCATGCATGGACTAATGCTGACTACTAAAGGGTTTGTGGCTGCAAGTTCAATCTCGTGCTGTTACTCCCTCTCGCCTTGTCACCTTCTGCCATAGGGTGACATAGCAAGAGGGCCCTCACTACATGCCAGCATCTTGTTATTGGATTTCCCAGCCTCCCAAGCTGTGGGAAATAAAATTATTTATTTATTTATTTATTTATGATAGGATCTCTCTACGTAGTTCAGGCTGGCTCTGAACTCCCTATGTAGCCCAGGCTGGTCTCAAATTCATAGGGATCCTACTGTCTCAGCCTCTCAAGTTCTGGATTACAGGGGTACCCTACCACACCTGGCCCACAATTTATTTTCTTTATGAATTACCCAGCCTCTGGTATTTTGTTGGGTTTTTTTTTTTGGTACCAGGGATCGATCTTGGGTCCTTGTGCTTGCGCAGCAGGCGGTGAAACCACTGAGCTAAATCCCCGGCCCCTCTGGTATTTTGTTATAGCAGCAAAACATGGACCTAAGCTTTTATTCTTTTTTGTTTATTTGTTTTTGTAGGGGGACAGGGTCTTGCTGTGTAGATCAGGCTGGCCTTGAATTCAAGTTGGTCCTCCTGCCACAGCCTTCCGAGTGCTGGGATTCCAGGCATGCGTCACCATGCCCGGCCAAAGCCTTTTCTCTTAAGCTCCTGGCTCTGCAGGTGCAGGCTGGGCAGTTCTGCTTCAGGCTGCGGTGCCTGGGCTGGGCTTGCCTCGCCTGCTCCTTGTCAACCTTGCTCTAGTGGCCACTCAGGGTATGTTCTTCGAGAGGTGCCCCTGGGAGCACAGAAACCACGGGGAACCATGTACGGCAGGACTGGAGGCAGAGCTCTGGTGGTAGAGGGATGGGCTTAGCCTGCTCAAGGCTCTGTGTTCTGTCTTCAGCACCCAAATGCCAAAACGCAAGCAGCGACTATGCAGGCACAGGGATGGGCTCTGCTCACACCTGCTAACACTCCACAGTCACAGCGAGCCTCATGGCCCGGCTCAGCATCAGAGGGACGGAGGAGGGCCTTCTGTGACAGCAGGGCCCTACGGAGCCACAGCGTGGACAGGTGTGCAGGTCGGTTGTGTTGTTCTGCAGACTGCTGTGTACACCTAATACCTTATAGATGCTCGTCCAAGTCAGGAGGCCCATAATTCACTGGTTCCCTTGAACATTTGCTTTAAATCTGTAGAATAAACTTGCCAGGATTTCTCAACCATCACACTGAACTCATAAACTAATGGTGGATGTGTAGGTTGTATCAGGTCTTTGGCTTTTTTTCCTCTTCAAACTACAATAATGCAATAGACATCCTGATACAAGTCCTTATATGTTCCTAATATATTCTTTCTATGTTAGAGATCAGCAAACAGGTCCACAGACCAAACCCAGCTAGACTGACTTTTGTAAATAAAGCATTTTTTGGTTTTTGGCTTCTGTGTATGTGTGGTATTGCAGATTGAACCCAGAGTCTTTGCGCTGAGCTACATCCAGCCCTTTTTTCATTTTTTGAGATAGTCTTGCTAAATTACCCAGGCCAGGCTTGAACATGTGATCCTCCTGGCTCATCTTCCCTAGTGCTGGGATTATAGGTGTGCACCACCACACCAGCCAGCTGGTGTCCTAAAGGCAGAATTTCCACTCCACACCTGGAAACCAGGAATATCTGTTGGCTCTGATATGCTAATGCCCACAACTTCTGATATGATGCTCTGTGCCCCCAGAGAAGCCATTTCCTGTGGTCTCCTGAGTCAGCCGTGCAGTAACTTCTGAGTTCACAGGGTTCAAGACCGAAATGCTCACTGAGGCTTACAAGGCCCTCTGTAACCTGGCTCTGAGAAGAGAAAAAAAATTCTGAGGTGCCCTAATTTGATTACAAGCAGAGAGGAAGGCGGGGAGGAGAGATGGGGGAGGTTAATCAGCACCCATCCGCAAACTACCAAAAGACCAGTTGACCTTCTGAAATGTGTGTTCAGCCTTAATCAAATCCTGTCACACCGCTAGGCAGGCGGTGTCCGGTCACAACCCCAGCCAACCCAGAAGCCACCAGAACTTTCCTCATGGACCCTCCCAGCAATTGCCCCAGGGCCTGGTCCTTTCTGGTCTGGCACCCATGAGGGTTCAGTAAACCTCTTCATTTCCCAGATCTGGAGGCCCCTGAGTTCTGTTCTGACAGCCCACCTTCCTCACCTCTGTGACTTCTTTCACTTCCGAGGGCAGTCTTGGTCCCCCTCACTCTGTGCGGGCTTAGTCAGAACTCAGTTCCCAGGAGCGGAAACTCAGTTGAATTGGCCGAAGCCTCAGCATGAATGGGCTCCTGTGACTGAGCGTGCAGCCTGAGGAGACCGCTTCAGGAAGAGGTGACTCCAGCCTGCCCTGTCTTGGTCCTCAATCGCTCTGCTCCCAAGGGGTTCGAGGAGGACTTAAAGCTGCATCCCCTAGGGGCAGTGAGGACTCTCACCTCCTGCTGCTGCTCCCGTGTACAAGGCTCTCTGAGCCAGGTGTGGCCGCTTGGTCAGCCTCAGGCCAATCTCTGTGACAATCAGTGGACACACAGGTCTGGTGGAGGGGGAGGAGGTCACCCCAGTCGGAACACAAGCGCTGGCAGCCAGGAAAGTCCCCGGGGAGGACTCAGCGGCTGGTGCCTGAAGCAGGGAAACCGAGCAGGCCCAGCACACACGCAGCCTGCCTTCCGCCGGCCAGGGGCCAGGCGACACTTTCCCCATGTCCACCCGCTACCCCTGGGCTAAGCCCCGCCCCAAGCGTTGGCCTAGCGTGAGTGCAGGCCTGAGCTCCATCCCCAGCGCTGCAAAACACAACACAAAACAAAACACAAGTGCTTAAGCAAAGAATAGAAAACTGGAACACTTCCATTTCAGAAACTGTTTTCTTACAGCCTGAGATTTGAAGGTATTGGGGTTCTCCAGAGACACAGAGCTACTAGGTCCCCAAATCTGCCATCTATAAACTAGAGAAACAAGAAGGCCCATGGTGTAACTCAGGGAGAATCTGAAGGCTTGGGAACCAGAAGGGTGCAGGGGGGAGGCCGTTGTTGTCAGTCCTGGAGTCCCCAAGAGCAGTGGTTTCTACTCCGTGAGTTGTCCTGTGGAGCAGGCAATCACAACAAGGCTGAGCTGGGGCCAAAGGCAGCACTGATATAAGTGGCTCTGAAACCAGAGCCTCAACCATTGCCAACTGTGGTCACAGAGGGTTACAGGGTCCCCTCTCGGAGGAGATGTAGGGAGGGGGCGGCTCCTGACCATGGAAGACACTCAGACCTACGCAGAGCCAGCACTGCGTGGCTGCCTGTGTCACTGACAGGCTTTCTGTCCCCTCAGCCCCAGGGGAAGGTGCTTCAAAGAGGGAGCTCAGAGAAAGAAGACGGGTTCCCAGGTTCCCCTTGGGCTCACCTTCCCTCTCCCAGCTGCAGCAGTGCCTCCCATTCTGACAGGAGCTCTGGGGACTTGGCCCTGTCTCCTGGGTGGGCCTCCCATCCGGAAAGGGCTGTCCATTGAGACTTCCTGTCACCTCCACTGGGCCTGAGCTCTGGAAACCAAAGCGCAGTGTTGTTTACCTTTTTGTTTGGTATTTCTCCTTTCTTCTCTTCTTTCCTTTTGTTTTTTCCAGTACCCAGGGCCTTCACATTGAGCTGCATCCTTAGGCCTTTTTGTTTCTTATTTTGTGACAGGATCTCACAAAGTTGCTAAATTGGCCAGGCTGGGCTCGAACTCATCCTCCTGCCTCAGCTTCCCAGAGTTCTGCAATTACAGGCTTGCAGCACCATTCTTTGTCTTTTTCACAGAGAGCGGCAAAGGCTGGCAGTGGCTTGGGCCTGTCCCCGCCTGAGAGGCCCCAAGAGCCATCAGCATCTGCTCTCTGAAGGGAAAGGCTGGGCTGCTCCCCTGCCAGCCTCCTCTGTCCTGCCAGAACTGGTGAGGTCGGGTTCCTCGGGAAGCTGATCAGGAGGAACATTTCTGATCACTGGTTCATTTGGGAGCCTGGGGGAGGGAAGGGAAGAAGGTGGGAAGGGTGGGAACCCCCAGCAGGTGCCACAGAGCAGGTTCCCTCTAAGGCAGCAGGGTTCAAACTCCAGGGCTGCTGCAGGATTCCAAGGCCTGTGGGACACTGCAGCTGCACCCGTGTGAAGGTCAGCACTGTCCTTGTAGCTGAGGGCTGCGCTGGGGATGTGCCCTACCCGCTCAGCCTGCAGAGAGTGCTGCCAGGTAGAGAGAGCCAAGTACATGCAGCAGGAAGGGCGCCTCCAGGGGCCCTGATGCTCACCAATTTCCGGTGTGTAGGGGAGCCAGTGGCCACTGCAGTCTCTCACAGACTCTGTGGAGGTAAAGCAACCACCATCTTTTTTTTTTTTTTTTTTTGGTACCGGGGATTGAACTGCGGTCCTTGTGCTAACCACTGAGCTAAATCCCCAGCCCTACCATCTTTTTTTTTTGGTACCGGGGATTGAACTGCGGTCCTTGTGCTAACCACTGAGCTAAATCCCCAGCCCTACCATCTTTTTTTTTTGAGACAGGGTCTCGCTATGTAGTTCAGGCTAGTCTTGAACTCACTACGGAGCCCAGGCTGGCCTTGACTTACAGCAGCTGTCATCTTGGACACTGCTAATGACCCAACCCAGGCAGAAGGCTGTTCTGGAAAGTCCTGAGCGGGCCATGTGTGCAAATACTCAACCGGAAGTGACGCGTTGCTCCACTTACAGGTCACCTTGGCCACTCAGTCACATGGCTCCCCGCAACCACAAGGGACACGAGAAGCACCTTCCTACTGGATGGTGGAGGCTGAAGTACAGTGCACAGCACTGCAGATCACGACATCCCTCTGTCTCCCAGGACAAAGCCCAAGTCCACCAGCAAGTCAGGTCAATGTCTTTCTGAAACTCATGTCCTCAGAATTTTTAGTCTGAAGAAATCAGGACTAGCCACATCAGGCTCATGTTTCTTTCTTGAGACTTTGTGAGTGTGTGGGGTGCTGGGGACGGAAGACAAGCTAGACAAGCACCCCACAACTGAACTCCATCTCTAGTCCTTTTGAGATAGGATTTTCCTAAGTCATCCAGGCTGGCCTAGAACCCAAGCTCCTCCTGCTCAGCCTCTGGGGGGCTGGAACCACAGGCGGGGGCCAACGTGCCCATTGTGACTCTTTTTTTTTTTGGTATAACTTTATTATCATTTACTAAACACACACATATACAAAAATTAAAATTATTCAGAGAAAAACAATGCAAGGGAAAAAAACCCTATAATAATAGTCAGGCAAGATCGGGCGCATTCAGGGTGGTATGGCCGTAGACTGTATAACTTTTTTTTTCTTTTGGTACTGGGGATCAAACTTGGGACCTTGCAATTGCAAAGCAGGCGGTGGAACCACTGAGCTAAATCCCCAGCCCTATAATAATATTCAAAATAGAACTCAACCAAAGTAAAACTGAAAAGTACTTAAACATTTTTCCACATAATTAAAAAAAAAATCTTAAGCATTAACGAGACATCAGAAGATGTGATTTATTTTAGAAAGATTTTCAAAACTAATATTGGACAAATAGTGGTCTGGAAAAAATTCTAATTAACTAGTAGACTCCACATAGGCCAAATGTTTTTTGATTTAAATTTCAATACAGTCATGTGACATGTAATGGAAATATAATCTGAGAAATATGTTATTAGGCAATTTCATCCATGTGTATCGCCAAGTACCACACAGTGTGCCAACTTCTAAGTGCAAACTGAGAAGGTACACGTCAGTCATCTGTGATGGCCCCTTGAGATTATCCAAATATGCAGTTAAACATGAGATACATGAGGCTACCACTGGCATAGCAGCACACTATTTTACAGTAGTGCCCATTGCGGCTCTTGTGTGAGGTGAGAAATGCCTGTCTCTCTCAGAGGGAATCTTGGTTGTGCTATAGCTCAGATCTTGAGTGTCTTTCAAGGCCTACATGTTGAAGGCTTGGTTGCCAGCCTGTGGCCCTATGGAGTAGTAGGACCTTTAATGGCTTTAAATTTTTTTTTTTTTGGTACCGGGGATCGAACTCGGGACCTTGTGCTTGCAAAGCAGGCAGCGGAACCACTGAGCTAAATCCCCGGCCCTTAGGACCTTTAAGAGATGGGCTCTCTGGGTGCTGTGGTGCATGACTGTAATCCCAGTACTCTGGGAAGCTGAGGCAGAAAGATCCCAAAATAAGTCCAGGAAAAAAAAAGGAGGAGGAGGAGGAGGAGGAGAGCCACAACTTGGGAGGCTAAAGCAGGAAGAACTCAATTTTGGGGCTGCCCTAGACATCTTAGCTTGACCTTGTCTCAAAATGTGAATTAACTCACCATTGTTCGAGGCAGCCTGGTAGCTCTTTCCCAATAAAGCCTTGCCTTGGGTGAAAAAAAAAAGAAATAAAAAGTTGTGGCTGTGCAAGCACAAGGACCCGAGTTCAATGCCCAGTACCAAAAAAAAAAAAAGTTGTGGGGATGTAGCTTATTAGTAGAGCTCCTGCCAAGCATGCATGAGGCTCTAGGTCCTAGGAGAGGAAAGGGGAGAGGAGGGAAGGAGGGAGCCCGAGTGAGAGGAAGTTAGGTCATTGTGGGCCCCTTCCTGTCTGTCTCTGCCTCCCAGCCTCCACTGCCACGTGCTCCTGCTGTCACATACTGTGTCACCACAGGCCCAAGTGACCATGGACTGAGCCCTCTGGCACTGAGGCGCAGTACAGTTGTCCTCCTTGTCAGCTGATCATCTCAGGCGTTCTTGTCACAGTGACCGAAAGCTGAGTGACATAGGTTGCTGTCACCAAACACCACCAACCAGGGGGCTCGTGAACAATGAACATTTATTACTTATTTCTCCTTACTGTTGCGGAGCTGGGGAGCCCAAGATCAGGTGTCCTCAGATTCAGGGTCTAAGGAGTCCCAGTTCCCCTCTACCAAGGGCTTCTCACTGGGTCGTTCACGTGGTGAATGAGGTCACCCACACCCAGGGTGGTGACGAGCTTCTTTTCCACTCATGGAAAGCCACAGAATCTAATCAACTTCACTGGGGACTTTTCAGTCTACCCTGAGTTCAAGTGAGGAAGAGGATGTTGCTTCCTAGGACCCCTGATGTCCCAACAGTGAGGCCAGAACAATGCCATGGGTGGAATTGGCGATATACCATATATATAAACTGATGTCAGTACACCATTGTTTTCCAGACAAGAGAACAAATTGAACTATTTTTTAATGGCAAAAGCAGAATAGCCTGGGGAAAACGGTAGAATATCGCACGCAGTCAGCGACAGTCTTAGACACGGGTCAGCCCATCCCACATGCAGCACGGAGAGGGAGGTCCCTCGCCTTTCCTCGGGTCCCACACATCCTCCTGTCCTCTCATGGTCCATGGGCCTGTGTTCCTGGCCCGCAGGGTTCTGAGCCAGCTGGGATTGTTTCCTTCTACTGGTTTCTATCTTTGATTCAGAACCCTCTCTTACATTTCCACAGTGGCTGTTAATTAATGATGATGATGATTGGCCTTAATGAAAGAGGGAATTAGTAGGTTCCTGGCTGTGCGCTGGAGAGAGTGCGAACAAGTGCTAATGCCCTGACAGGGGCTCTTGTGACCTGGGAGCCACTTCCTGAAACTCAGCAGCTGGAGGGTTGATCGTCCTCCTGTGGGAAGCTGTGTTCCTCCCAGGAAAGAGGCAAGTTTGGGCCCAGGAACCCGTGACTGGCAAACCCAAGCATTTGCCACTTTGTTTCTTTGTCATTGTTATGTTATGTGACACTGGATTACAATGTTATGGTTTTTGTTTCGGAACAGGGTTTCTTTGCAGCTCAGGCTGGCCTGAAATTCTCAATCTGTCTCAGCTGCCTAAATGCTGGAATTACAGGTGTGTGCAAAAGTGTGGGCTATGATGTTATAGGGGTTTTTGTTTGTTTGTTTGTTTCTTGAGACAGGGTCTCACTATGTAGTACAGGCTGGCCTTGAACTCACTATGGAGCTCAGGCTGGCCTTGAACTCATGGCAATCCTCCTGACTTAGCCTCCCAATTGCTGGGATTACAGGGATTCCTATATACTTTTTATGATTACATATACATCTGTGTAAATGCATACAAAGAATTCTAGAAAGAGTTACCTCAAGTTTTCAAAAGTAGTTATTTCTAGGGAGGTGCGTGAGACTGGAAATTGTGGTCAAGGCTGTTTTATTTTCTTCTTATTATTCTTTTTCGTTTGGTGTTTGGAATTGAACCCAGAGCCTTCACACTGAGCTACATCCCCATCCCTTTAAAAAATATTTTTGGAATCAATTTTTTTTTTTTTGGTACCGGGGATCGAACTCAGAACTTTTCCCTTGTGAAGCAGGCACTGGAACCACTGAGCTAAATCCCCGGCCCTAAAAATATTTTTATTTGAAAAAAATTTTTTATTTGAGCTGTGGATGGTAGTGCACACATATAATTCGTAGCACTTGGGAAGCTGAGGCAAGAGGATTGCTGCAAGTTCAAAGCTAGTCTGGGTACATAATAAGTTAAAAAGTGAGACCCTGTCTCTGAAAAAAAAAAAAGC